TAGAGCGTGAAGTTGAGAGACCGTGAAGCGATTGATAGCTAGGCCGTATTCAAGCTGAGGTCGAACGATGTGAGCGTAAAACTTAGTGCAAAGAACTTTGGAGAAACCAGAAGGATTCACATCAACAGATGACAGCATGTTCATTGTTGCAAGAGCCTTACGAGTATTACATTGAATTAATTCTTCTGGATCGAGGTGCCCTCCCGGTTTAAATGACATTGATTTTGATTGGCTGTGACATTATTTACTGGAAGCACTGTGCGCTACGCGCACAAGGAAATCCACGAGAGGGTTAATGATACAAACACTACCTGTGATGTCATCAACAAACCTTTTGAATATGCGTCGCCAAGCTAAGCTTGTTCAGAAACAAGCATCTTTTGGGTGACTTTGGTTCTTTGTTGATAGAGCTGACAACATAAAATAAAATACAACAATAGCCACATTTTATCTCTATACCAAGGAACATGGAGAGTAATTTTATATCAAAAGATATCTCGTTGATCAGCCTTAGACTAGGCGAACACTTTGGTAGTGTGAAGTTGTATAGTGATGCTACATGTAGGCACCAAGGAAGCGCACGTAGCATTAGCCTTCTCGTGGATTTCCTCGTGCGCGTAGTGTTCATCCAAAAAAATACCTATCGAAACTCAAAAATCCTTACAAGTGTTGACCACATTTATCTTCTCTTCTCTCAAAAAGACAGGATTCATTGCCTTTTTAATAATAAAGAAAGAACCGATAATCAACTAAAATGCAATTGTTATTGATATTTTATTGTGTGCGAATAATTTCTGAAAATGCTATATCATCATTTTCCGATTCATAGTAATCACCTGCACTGTCTACCAAGAGCATCGGTGTACTTTCTGCCACTGTGCTATACACCTTTTTCTCCTTTTGAGACATCATTTTGAATTTCAACCAGTTATATAAACCAATACCAAACAGTGTGATGCATAGTCCGATAATGTTGACCAGTGTCAAAACGTCACCAAAGGTTAAAGAGGAAATAAAGATAGTTGCGACTTCCTTGAATATACCACATACACTCAATGTGACGACCGAGGTACGTTTGATGAGGAAAAATTCAGATACGATCATAAAGAAGGCGAGACTACCGCCTGCGAGGATGACACCAACCTATGCATAGTGTCAGAATAAAAGCTCTTGTATGATATTTTTGTTTTCTTACTGTGTGTAAGCCTTCCTCAAAGGTAACAAAGAAAGCACTCTGAAAGATATGGATGTATCCCTCGACAATACCAGAGATGATCAACAGGATGATGGCCTGAGAGGGTGCAAGAAAGAAGATGGAGGCAAAAGGGTTGGTCAGGCCCATACTTTCTTTTCTCAACAGCACTTCGGTCAGGGACCATCGTAGGCCTCCAAAGACAGAAGCACCCATCACTTGAATGAAGCCAATAGGTGAGAATTCGGTCTCGTCTGATACCATCAGGATAACACCGACTGTGATAATGACGATGATAAGTATTAGTTTCCATTGAGGTTTTTCTAATTTAAATAGAAACGCGAATATCAGCACAAAGGCCAATGTTGATGATTTACACATGGCTTTTTAAAAAAAAAAGAGTTATAGCATACATCAAGAAAGACAATAAAAGAACTTACTGTAAAAGGATAATGTGATCGTTTTGAGTGACAGGTTGGATAGACCAATGTCTAGACTGGTAGCCAATGCACATGGTAATACCCTCTGGCTGCATTTTTTTTTTTTTCGAGTTTAGTTTAAAAAAGGGATATCTTCTTTTCTATGCTTACATGTAGCTTGTTGCACTCGGTCGATTCTTTGGCCTTAGCTTTGGAACAAACAAGAGCGAGAGGCCAGAAAAGACGAATTGAACGATCATATGAACACTGGTGACAAAAAGTGGGTATTGAAAGTTGTAGTGTTCTTTTGAAAACATCCATTTGTTATATACAGAAAGAATAGTTGCAAACTATTGAAATAAGTCATATCTTTATTTTGCTTATATATGCTTCTTACAATATACCAAGCTAGGATCCAAAAGAGATTGATAGACATGTGCTTGATCAAGGTCGATCGTTCTTCTTTTTGTTGGGGTAATTCTTGTTTTTGAGCAAGTAATGTGTCAGTCAATTGTGGATCTACTTCATCTTCTGATGGTCGAGCATCATTCTGACTGATTATGTGTTCAATATCTTTGACCATTTAAATAATAGAAAACCAAGAAAAGGATAAAGTATGTATAATGTGTTTGTGTGTATTTATTTAATTTAAACTCCTATGGTTCGCGTACTCTTTTAACGTGTGTGTGCCCTTTAAAGAACAAAAGGAAGAATGGAGAGAGGATATATAAGCTGTCTGTTTTGTTTAAGAAAACGCAAATGGCTCCCTCCGCAAAAGAAGCCAGAATTTTTTTTCTACAAAGACTTACCTATACCAGAGCCTTGTCCATACTGCTGTGCCTTCACAGGATCGACAATACCAGAACGGTTCTTGCCTAAACCTTCACCTTTTCTCCAACCCATGTTGAGTAGCATCTGTGCGCCTTTGTTATCTTCCGAAATCGGCTTATCCATTGATGCTTGAAGTACATGCGATATAGATCTGATCACTGTCAGCAAAATGCAAATATATAGATAGTTTGGTTAGACTTACATGTCACGAGGAGGATGCATGTGTCGAGGAGTAGAAGGTGGCGACAGGATTGGTTTCTCTGGTTGTCCATATGCTTGTCTCCTTTCAGCTGCTCGATTGCGATACTTTGTCTTTAAGGGTTTCTTTTATATATATCCGGATACACACATATATACAACATATAGCTATCTTTTTTTTTAGGCTTTACCTCTTCTTGTTGTTGTTCATCCACATCATCTTTTAAAAAGCTTAGTTTTAACATTGCTTTGTTCACCGCCACAGGGTCATTTAGATTATTCTACTATAAATGAGACACAAAGAAACAAAAAAAAGGGACTCCTATTGATACATACCTTGTGAAGTTCAGACAGCTGTTGGTGTCGTTCTAGATCAGACTTTGATTTAAACTTGCGTTGACAAAGAATACATGTAAGTGATGATAAATCAGCATAATGTACTCTTGCTTGTTCTTCATGCTCCTTTTCTTCCTTTAATTCTAAATGTTTCTTATTCCATCGTTCAAGTTGTGTATGAATCTAGTAAAAATGAATACATGTCTAATTTCTTTAAAATCTATACCTTTTTCACACTTGTATTATCTGTCGTCGTCGCAGGTCGTTTACGTTTAGGTTGTTCAAGAGTAATTTCCTTTTTTATTTCAATTGGCTTATTGTCTTGTTCATGGCTACTACTAGCTATACTAGTTGTATTAGTTGTAGATTCTATCTTAGAACGAATGACAAATTTGAAATTGGGTTTCTTTTGCTGTTGTTGAGGTTGTTGAGGTTGATCAAACATGTAGAAAAAAGAAAGAGAAAGAGAGAGTATGTGACTACACTCTGAGATAATGAAAGTCAATTCAGCTTCAAAAAAAGTGAAAATACCCTCCTTTCGTTTTAAAAATATGACAATTGGGAACAATAACAACAACTTCCTTGACAATTATGCAAGAATATTCAAGTTGTATGAAACGAATAATGGACATGACATTGCTATGAAATATGCTTCTTTGAATTTAGAGTAAATACAGTAAAAAGTGTATCGACTCTACATATATATATAACATGTTCAATAGTGACAAAGACACGTTTCGACAGGCAGAGAATAATACTTGGAAACTAATAGATGCTATGATTTCGTAAGGAAAAAAAAAAAAGTCAACATTAGAACAACAAAGAGAGAGAAACCTGACGTTTCTTAAATGTAGATCAAAAGATAAATGTTGTCTCTTTCAATATGCTGTAAAGTTCAATTATGCAAAACATATTATACGCCTCACACCTTTTATATGATAGGCTTTAAAGGATTGGATATCCAAAACCACGGTCAGTCAAGAATTGCGCAACCAGATCATGCGCAAGGTATCTGAGGAGGAAGAGCTTGAAGAAGAATTAATGCATATCGTCTACAGAAATCAGGCGCTTTCACATCCAAGTAAAAAAAGAAAAGTGTCTATAGATATCGAAGCAGTCTATAAGCAACGTTGGAATAAGATCAGATCGGGAGTGTATGAGAAGACAATAGGTGAACCTGGTGAAGATCCAACAGCGGTGTATGTGCATAATGAATATGTTCGATTTAATCTCTTTGCGCTTGGTATGAATCCCATTTTATGATAAATAGATAATGGAGCTTATGTTGTTCATCTTAGGCAGAGATAGTTCAGGTTATAGTCAAAAGGAATGGGATTCTTGGTTTGAATGTGTGCAGTACATGGCAAAGAACGTAAGTATAGGCAAGGTGTATAAACATGAAGTAACCATGCATATCCCAGGAATCGCTTGGATTCTATGAAAAACTCTTGTATGATACATTTGCAGGAAATACTCATATAGGACCTGGCATATGTCAAACATGGGAGGACGTTGTATGGGTCAATCTGAACGGCGCTGTTCAAAGTGTAATGACCAAGCAGGATTCAGAAGAGTTGATTCTATCTGATAGTGCGGCTCAATTAGCTTTATCCAAGGATTATATATTAGAAGAGTATATAAAGAGAGATCAAGGAACTTATAAATATGAGATTAAATTGTAATTTTATTAGAGGAGATCCTAAAAGGTTTTTTCATCTAGTACAATTGGCTCTACTTCAAGACAGAATAAGTAATCTGATCGATACAGCATACGAGCAATTCATCACGCGTAATTCTTTTTTTAATCTTGGGTAAAGTATGCAGAGCTTATTACAGCACACAAAAAGACTGACAGATTGTATGATTAGCAAAGAACATAGAATAGAAGCCCTAAGATTTATATCCACATTATTAATATATGGTCGTCAGTATCTTGACTGGAAACAAGACGAAAAATCAATTGCTATCGTGTCATACTACGCCGAGCTTAGTTCAACACGAGATTACTTTAGACCCTTAATTACTGCCATATATGCCTCAAAGCTCCCACTCGATGCTCAAGTATCTGTATATAGTCGATTTCTGGAAGGTAAACCATTAAAAAGAGAGAGAGAGAAAGCTAAGTAGATTATAGAATTTGATGGCGACAAGGAAGAAGTCTCCATTCTTTTATTACTTGGCAAACAACAAGGACTAGCAATGAACGATATATTGAAACGAGTCAGTTCGAATACCCTTCAAAAAGCCCTTTACGAGTCCTCTAGAGTCAAAAGCCTCCAATACTACCGATTAGAAAATAATGAGATGGATGATTTTGCTTATACCCTTTTAGAGGCCTTGGGATGGCTCAAGAGTCAGGACCTCTGTCTGGAGTTATTCAAGACAGCCAATGTGATTATTCGTCAGGTACTGGGCATGCGAAGGCTTTATCTGGTAGAAAGAGTGACGGATGTGGTGGAAGAAATGGAGACATATTGTTCCAAGACAAAAGAGATGGAAAAAGAATTTGCAGAGTATCTTTCTCATAAACGACTTGTCAACACATTTAAATTGTTTGAAGAATGGACTGACCTTATTCAGTCTAGTCCGCAAGACTCGTAAGCAAAAAAAAGATGTGTATGTGTATAAAAAGGCTTATGTTATTATTAGTGGTTCATTAAGTGATCTTCAAAAAGTAGTGTCATGGCGACACGAAGTTCAGGTAAATAAACGTATATATTTTGGAAAATATATTAACAGATATTAGACACAAACTGAAATCCTGGAAAGAGAATTAAAGTTTCTGCTTGAAGGTGGCTGGTTAGGAGAACATACGGATGAGACTAGACATATTTCGAAAGCGACCTTAAGAGAGATCTACATCCCAGATCTAGTAATCAAATATCACCAACTACTTCATCTATCGTCCAGCGTGATCCCTGAGTGAGTTCATTCAAAAATAATATAATGCATATATATTGATTATTTTTATAATAGGAATTTACAAAAGAGTAGACAAATGAATACTTATGTCACTGTCAAGCACAGAGAACTGTATGATGATATCATGGTTGCCAGTAGAATGAAGCAAGTTATCAAAGAGCTTAGTAAATCTTTATTGCCAATGAATCAATAAACAAGTTTCTGTTAAACTAAAATAGTCATTTTTGTTAAAATAACGGCTTTCAGTTATTATCACGTATTTATTGTGAAAAAGTGTTCTTTGCTGTAGTTCTTGGTATGTTCTTTTGAGATGTCTCGTGTACTTCAGGCCATCTTCAACATAACGTACTGTTTTTGATGATTGTGGTATCTCTGCCTTGAGCCGATCGTATATCTTCTGAAATTGCGCTTCTGTCACTTAACAAACTGTTTGCAGCGCTTCAAGCTTTTCATCTTCTCCTTGTCTGATATGCTCAAATATGGGTTTCGTAATTGAATATAAAGCTACAATCGTCGGGTCATCCCTGTTATGTAATGGTTTAAATGATACAAGATAAATACAAAAGAAGCACTCTTTGAGACTAATCTCTATTCTGAGGTAAAGACAGAAGAAGCATACAATTAAATAAAGGATCTACTATTTATAGTTGCTATCAAATGGCTGGTAAGCCACTATTCTAAGCGTGGATTATAATTACTGAGGATGTGATTGACTAACAGTTCCTGAATTCATAAAGAAAGCTTTTAATTCGTTCCTGATACTGATCTTATTGTTCATTTCATGCTCTGGGTTATGTTACTGTTTTTACCGCGAGAAGGATTGTCTTTTAAAGAAGTAACGATATATATTCAAACGAGAAATCCTATTTAATTTGATTTATCACTAAAAGTGTATACACATAATCTTATAACGTATGAATTCACTCTATTCATACTGATTACAATCGTTTATCTCAATGTCAGTCATAAGCAGACATTGTTCTACGACAATCCCATCTGTCAAACTTCATGATACACCTCTTTTTGTACGTCAAAAGCATGCTTAACGCCACCAGTGGGTCAGGGTTGCCATTTGCGTTAGCAAAATGCTCGATAGTACTTTTTGAGAGGAGAAAACAGTGCTGAGCCCAGAAATTGCTTGATGATTGACGCAGGAACGGCTTGTCACAGCAAGCCGTGAAGGAGTCCATCAAACGGCATGATGACAATTTTTCAGTGCAAACAATCAACAAGACGGAGAGGACTTCGTACTTGCGGTATACATGGAGACAGCACTGGATTGCACGGTTCATGAGATCTTGATTCACTAGTGATTGAATCTCTACCATAACAGGAGGTAAAGTCCTATTGAGAGCCAGACGAGGCAAGTACAGGATGTCACAACATATATTATCTGGCCATTCCGTCTCAGCAGCTGTATATGTGTTATCGCTCACGTTTAGCAAAGCTTTTGTAACTAGGTCGACCACAGCCTGGTGCTTAGCAACACTCTTACTAAGTTTGTCACTACCGGGGCGATAAGTATCTGGCAACTTGAAAAGGAATAAATCTTCTGGGACTACGCGGACAATTAGATGGACATATTGAGTGCCAATATCGAGCCTCAAATTGAAATTGTACCTCTCTCCATGTGAGCAGGATGAGTGCGAACTACACCACCAGTGCTTTGACATTTAATTAAGCCTCAGCAGCTGATCATCAGCTGATCTCGATACTATCATCCATATCATCTGTACTGTCGCATTTGACCATGTCTAATGCTAATCTTTACGTGTGAGATTACATTTGACTTAATTATATGTACCTTAGTTAGCACTCCGACCTCTTTTAAATCAACCTAATTTCTTTTTGCTATGAGCTCTTCCTCTCGCTTCTAATAAAAGAATAAAACAGAGACACATCACTTCTTTGCTTTTATTCTATACATTACCGAGTACGAACAACAGCAACAACCAATACCTCATATGGAAAGGGAAAACGAATACTGCGAATACAAGCTTGATACACCTACAACAAGTTCCAAAGATTTTTTCTCCTCCCATCCAATGAAGAATTGATGCTTTGAAAAAGTTTTTTTTTTTCAGCAATCGACGACATGGACACAACTCGCAGCCTTCATTGAGACAACAATGACGACCCAACTTGGCAACATTTGGGCACGCTTTCTCACTCGATACCTACTGTAGCAGCTCAACAGATACCAACGATGTGCAACACCACCTTCAGCCGCACAGAATCACCTTTGTCCTATCACTCCAGCAATGAAACAAGAACTCACCTGGTGGATTTCGCAACTTCAGCATTGGAATGGTCGGCATATCCTTCAGCACACACCAGTCACTCAAGTGTTCACGGATGCGTCAGACGCGGGTTGGGGAATAGTTTGTGGCAATCGTCACTTCTCTGGTCTCTGATCCTCTCAAGAACGTCGTTTCCATATCGATTACAAGGATCTTCTAGTTGTGGACAAAACCCTACGGCAGGTGTCACTATCACACTTGGGATACACCCAGCTATGTATGGACAACACGTCTGCTTTGGCATATATCAAAAAACTTGGCGGTGCCTGCTCCTCCAGCCTGAGCACCTTGGCAATGGACATATGGAGCTTCTGCTTTCGAAACTCCATACAATTATCGACGCTACATGTTCTATCCCGCTACAATCCCGCCGACGCTCCTTCTCGTCAGCTTGCGCACCAGACAGAATGGACTTTGCCAGAGAAGACTTTCCTCCGGCTAGACCGCCTATGGGACCCTCGCCACCTAGACTTATTCACCACACACAAGAATGCCAAGATTCCGCAAGCCTTTGTGTCATGGACATACCACCCGCAAGCTCTATGGACCAACGCCTTTTCGAGGAATTGGACCACTTTCTCCAGGCGGCTGTACCCGTCCCCTCCATGGAACATGATGCTACCCGCCTTGCAGCGGTTGACCCAGCAACCTAGCTGGCGACACTCATCGCGCCCAACTGGCCGTCCGCTCCGTGGTTTCCACTGGCTCTTCAACTGGCGCACCAACCTCCTTTGATCCTCCTCCAAGAGGATCTGGTAAACAACACCGATCAGCATCTCCTCAGGAAGAGCCCCAATTGGAGCATGCTAGCGTGGAACATCTCGCCAAACGCCTGAAACACTCTTCTTTGTCATCGTCCGTTTTAGCCATGATTTCTCCCACAGCATCCTCTACCCGACGGCAATACTACTTTAGGCAACAGAACTACGCTACGTGGTACTCTGCACACCAACTCAACTATCAGGACCCTTCCCACAACAAATCATCAACTATTTAGCAGATCTTCACACCACTGACGGCCACAAGCTCTCTATGCTAGCCACCTATAGCAATTCAATTCTGGCTCTTTTCTCCGCCAAGGATCAGCAAGCAATCAAACATTCTGAAGCTGTAACTAACTCTATGAACAAGAAAAAGAAGATGAAAGAAAGATACGACAAGGATGTAACTGAAAGCAAGCAATATCGCATTGGGGACAAGGTTTTGATGAAGAATCACGTCCCTAAAAGTAAATTTGATGAAAAGTGGCTCGGTCCGATGGAAATTGTGAAGATCAATAAGAATTCAACATACTATCTGATGAATATTAATGCAAGAAGAATAGAAGAACCTGTCAACGGAAATTATCTCGTTCCATACAGACAATCTCGAAACTAAATGCACGACTGGTGAAGGAGTACTGTTACGGCGTGTAACACATACGTTATCGTCGTTACATTTAGCTAAAGATCAATACTACTTACCACATATGATCATAGCGGGATATCAGCTATTTGAAATCCTATCAATAGTGTATTGTTTTAAATAAAATAAAGGGGACCTTTTCTTTTGCACAGAAATTGGTCATTACTTGCAAAAATACTAGAAGATTCGAATCTCTTCTATTTTCCTATTCACATAAGAAATAATTTTATCAACTTCATGGACAAGAGAGAAATCAAGATAAGTTTGGTGGGATCTTCCAAATAACATATATCGACATCTTTCATTTCTTCGATCCTTTTCGTCAGTTCAGCAATATGAAAATCGTTATACGCTTGACAGTAAATTATGCACACTGCTTGTTCCCTCGAAATGATAGGCATTTACAAAGCAAA